CCAGACTGATTCATGTACTTAGGGATCTTGGCAGAAAAGCACAAGTTAGGTTGATTTCAAAACTGCTGGGCTTGAAGAATGAGTAAGCTGAGTTGAGTCAGAGTAAGCAGAGTAAGTGGTCAGGGCCTTATGGGTGAGTAGTAACCCAAAGCTGAACACTTCAATGTTTCATTTAAGAATTATATGCCACTTGCTGGGCAGATGAGAACATCCGGGTGTGAAATTGAACTTGGAAAAGGTGAAAGATCGATCCCCTCCTCTTCAACTCCAGAGACCCACAGCTGCTGTTCAAACCTCTGTGCTGCATTAAGAGCAATCCTAAAAAGCCTGATTCTAGAAATGCACCCACACCTACACACAATGTTCCCTCAGGAAAAATTCTCTAAGCTCTTGAGCAGAGCAAATGAGTTTTTCATGATCTGTCCCCAGCCCCTCTTCTTTTTTTTAATCTCTTCTAGGACTTCTCACTCATATCCAACTTTTCCCACCAGCAAAGACCTTCAGAGGCAGCACACAGAGCACTGCGTATAAGTTCCCTCAGTCTTTGACTCTTCCCTGTCTCCTCTGCCCGGCTAACGTGTACTCATTCTTCAGTATGCGATTTGAACCTTACTTGCCCTGAGAAGATTTCTGTGGTTTTCACCAGCCCCTGCCTATGAAACTAAGTTAGGTGCCATTCTTAATGTTTCTTCCCCATCACGGCACTTACCATACTGCATTGTAATTGCCTGTGTACTTGTCTGTAAACTACTAGACTGTAAGCTCCTTGAGGGCAGGGACTCTGTCTATTTTGTTCACAGTTGTATCCCCAGCACCCAGCACAGTGCCTGGCATAACGTAGGTGCTTAATAAATATTTGTTGAATGAATGAATGAATGAATTGAATTGAATTCATTTAAGGGAAAGCAGAAAGATAACATCTTTGCTCCTTGACAGTCATTAGAGTGTGTGTTAGCATCTGAATGAAGGCTGAATATTTACTGATGTCATGGTGTGGTCTACAATGGTAGAAGGAGTGGTTAAAAGAAAACCAAAAGAGAATGATCTGATACATTTTCTGATTAGGTAGAACTATACTAAGCTGTGGAATATTTTGTTTGGTTGAAAAATTACTGAATAACCTCCAATATGATTTCTGCCTGATTTTTACCCATGCTTCTGAAGCTTCACCTAGAACTTTCTAAGTCTTAGGACTAATTCATAGTATAAAGCAAAAGAATTGTATTCTTTTTTTCTAAAAGCAACCTTGTTATAAACAACATTTTAGATTTGCCATCAGAAATGAGGAATATCTTCCTGGATTTGTCTGATAGAATGCTATAAAACTTGAAAACATGATTTTTTAAACATGCTTAAGTTATAAAACATTTGAATCAAAACATTTGGTTTTACCAAGTTGAAGAACTTACCTACCAAACAAACAAGATGACTATCTAGTGATCCTAAACATATCAGGCAAAGCTAAATTTGCAACTACATTAACTAGTTAAAGATACACAGTGATCCCATCTGAAAAATACAACGAATCTTCAGAGAAGCACTTTGCTACACTAAGCTTAGTAAACACCTCTGAGAATGCCAGGAATTCCACAATTTCTGCACTGTCTTCAGATTGTTACATGTCTGACAGCTATGTGCTTCCTGGTGTCCCTGCTCATAATGATTAAGTCATTCCATTTCCTTGAATCATAGCCCACAGTGGTGGCCAATACATATTTTTAAATTCATAAACACTACTTTATGCATTAAGTTAGTAGCAATGAATACTGGGATTTTCCCAGAAGACAAAATATTCCAATTTGCAATACCAATAATGTGGTAATAGAAGTAAGAAGTAAATAAAAGGGACATCCAGGAGAGTTTGAGAAATTGAATGATTCACTTGTCTTTATTAACATAACTTTGTAAAAAAAAAACAACTATATCAATTCACAAACCTCAGAAAGGGTCTTAAGTTTCACTCTTGTACACTAAGGATTTTAGAATTTGGAAAACCAAATGCAAATGCAATGTAATAGGTGATGTATTAAATATTTCCTAAATGACTAATTCTTTGGGGAAAAAAAGATGAATAAATTACAGTGAGCAAGAGATGAGCCCCCCAAACAGTCTCCAGTGTAATAACAGAAAGTAAGCCATACTCTGTGAAATGAAAAAACATCTTGTTCATTTGCTTCAATTTAACTAGGGGTGGGGTGTGGGCAAAGGAATGAGGAAGATAAGCAGATAAGAGAATGGGAGATGTTAACATATCAAAATGCTAGTAGGAAGACAAATAGGCTCAATTTGCAAGGCCAAACGAATTTATAGAACAGCAGTGTTTGATATATGATATTTCCACTAGTTGATTTGTAATTTTTAAAATAAGACTTACATGTTTATTTGAAACGCAGAGCAACAGAGCGAGAGAGGGAAAAAAAAAATTAAATACTTATTTATTCATCAATGGCCACAAGAGCCAGCTCTAGCCAGGACGAAGCGAAATCGGAGGAATTCAGTCCTGGTCACCCACAAGGCTGACAGGGACCCAAGGAATTGGGCCATCTTCTGTGGCTTTCTTAGGTGCTTTTTCAGAAGGTTGGATGGGAAGGGAGTAGCCAATATCAGATCTCAGTATAGGATGCTGGCATGTCAAGTGCAGTCTTACTGCTGTGTTACAATGCAAGGCCCTAAATGTTTAATGTTGATGTATTCTTCCCATGTCCTCAGATTTCTAAAACAAGGGTTTAGTTAATCTGACCCAAGATTTTCTCAAAATCATACTTCCCACCAACACTGTTTAAGCTTCCAAGACCACTATCAGAGTATGTGACTCATTGTGACTCAGACCTATGGTGAAATAGTCAGACTGTAAATTGACATTTGCTTACAACCTTAAAGCTCAACCCAGCAAGCGTACACCTACGCAATACTCTATATCTTGCCCCCATTCTGCTTCCTCCAATTCCCTTCCGTAATTTTAATCCTCCTCCCCACTCATTTTCCTACTGCTTTGCTCTTTCTCTCTGAACTTGCCACCATTCTCGCTCAATACAAAGGAAAACCTAACTCTCCCTAAGTTATCCAATCTCCCGATAGCATCATTACATGTACCACAACCCTAGATGAAAAATTAATGGCGTTCCTCACTATTACATCTGCACCCTCAAGCATGCAATTCCCTCCTCTGCGATGTAGATGTCAGTAAGCACCCAGTCAGAAGGGATCACCTACCTACCCATGTTGTATGCTGTGATTGCTCTCCATCCATTAATGTTGTTTGACGTTTGGTTTATGCTTATTGTCTACGCCCAAGATCTTTGATTATCTCGAGTAACACTCAGGTCATCTGAAATGCTTCACGGAACCTCTCCCCATGTAGTTCCTTTATTACCCGTTGGTCTTGCCTCTGTTATTGAAAGTCACCAATTCCAGTGAGTTTGCAGTTAACCTTGTTATCATTTACCTGCTCTTATTACTGCAACATAATGATCACTCCATCCTTTTTATACTCTTGTTACTGGGGAAAAAAAGTGACTTTAATCTATTTTTTAAAGATTTATTTATTTATTATTTTCATTGGAAAGATTTACAGAGAGTTCTCTTTAAATACAAAGACAAGTATTTTATTCAGAAGAAAAAACTATTACATTTTTTTCCAAAAATGTATAACCATTTCCTTCTTATTTTTTTGAAGATTTATTTTATTTTTACTGGAAATATGATATACAGAGAGGATGATCTTCTGTCCATTGATTCAATCCCCAAGTGGTTGCAACAGCCGGAGCTGAGCCAATCCGAAACCAGGAGCCCAGAGCCTCTTCTGGGTTTCCCTCACTGTGTGCAGGGTCCCAAGGCTTTGGGTTGTCCTTGATTGCTTTCCCAGGCCAGATCCAGGGAGCTGGATGGGAAATGAGGATTCTGGGATTAGAACTGGTGCCCATATGGGATCCTAGAGTATGCAAGGCAAGGATTTTAGCCACTGGGCTACCACACTGGGCCCCCATTTATAAATCAGGATCACAAAAAAAAAAGAGGGGAGGTGCTACCTATGACCTAGGTGGTTACATAATTCAGCATTCTCATGTATGCACTTGTGTGTTGGACAAATGTGAAACCAGTGGTATAAACTGTTGGCTATCTTCACACTTTCCTTAAAAAAAAATTAAACTGCAACACTAATATCATCCTGCATTTAAGTAACATTTTAGTTTATATAATTTACGTATATCACTTTCTTTTATTTACTTTTTTAATCTGAAAAGCAGAGTTAGAGAAAGAGACACAGAGAAATCTTTTATCCACTGGTTCACTCCACAAATGGTCTCAATGGCCGGAGGAGGGCCAGTCTGAAACCAAGAGCTTCTGCCAGGTCTCCCACATAGGTGTAGGAGTGTGAGTACTTGGGCCATCCATCCTCTGCTGCTTTCCAGGCACATTAGCAGGGAGCCAGAAACAGAACAGCTGGGACTTGAAAGAGTGCTCATGTGGGATGCTAGAGCCACAGGTAGAGGCTTAACCTACTATGCCACAGTGCTGGCTCTATTCATCTTCTTTAAAGATACAAAACAAAATGAACAGGGAACGCTAGCATCGTATGTACCAATATTATGCCATTTCACACGCGAGGAACTCAAATGACAGGGCAAGCTCAACGACCTTCACAAGTAGTGAATAGCAAAGTCACAATTCTTAAAAATCACATCTACCAACTTGCACTACAACTTCTCCTTAGAGCTCCTATGCTAAAATATTTCATTTGTTTTCTTTTTTCAGGTTGCCAGTTAAATTCCTGAGGCACAGTTTCCTTCCTTATAAAATATGGGGATAAAATAGTTTAGCTCAAGAGTCACATTGAGGAACAAATGAAATACAACCCACAGCGGCGGCAGACTAACGCCCAGTGCAAGCGGTAAGTCCCTGCCCCACTCACCCTGACAACACACTGAAGTTCATTCGTCTATATTCTTCCTACAATCAGCAGCACATGAAATAAACTTTCAGGCGGGCAAAAGTATTTCTACAGTAGAAGCATTTATTGCAATTATAGAAAAATAACACTATTTCAACATCGGGGCAATTAAACAGACATAAGTTGTCCCCTTGTATACTTATGCTCAAATGTGAATACATAATTTCAAGTCATTCTTAAATTAACAAGGAACCCACACATAATCAAGGTGATGCCCACCAACAGAAGAGATGCATTAAAGCTACATTACCAGCCCTGTAAATCGGGAAACACAAAGTGGTCTTGTGCAGTCATTGTCAATTTTAGTGTGTGTCAGAAATGCATGGATTGTTGGAAAAGAAACTTCTGGAAACAGGAGGGAAATCATCCAGTTACAAAACCCCTGTCCTTCAGAAGCGGGGCTTACAAAGAGACTTCAGATACAAACTCCGTTCCTCAGATGGGGCAAAGACAAAGTACAGATTGTCTTGGAGCTTCAGGATCAAGAATAACAGATAAAACTCTCAAGACTTATTCCACAGATGAGGTCAGCTTGTGCGTGTTCGGTGCTTCCAACAGTCCACAACACAGCAACAGAAATGGTTATCTTAACGTCACTGTCATGTGATACAGAGGACATGCTGTCCCACCCCCAGCTCCAAATAGCTATGATTGATTTTAAACGTCAGTCACTCACTCAAGGTTTGAGCTCATGGGCTACTCGCATCATTTTTACATAGGTGCCATTTTCACTAACTTCAATCATTCACTTACGCAAGTTTTCAGCGCATGGTTGAAATAACAATTTTCTGCATTCGAACTAGGACAATGGATTAAAAAAAAAATAGGCAGAGAACTAAAGCTTCAAAACTGTATGCTGCTTTTAAATCATCAATAGCTAGAAGAATGAACTAGTTTTCCAAGTGAGCCATTTGGGCAATTTTAGATGTTCCCTATATTGTTTTCTGAACCTTGGAAAGCTATAGTTGCAAACATAGGAATAGAATATCTATAATTTTCATCACCTTCCATATTCAGTACACTACAGTGTTTCATAGTTTAAAACAATTTTTGGCTTTAAGTACCTACCCACACACATATCTGAGGTTTTAACATTCTAAAACTCTAAAACATAGCTACAGAGGTACACTGTTAGGTAGGGATAGTGTCTTTCAAATTTGGCACTCATGACATCTTGGGTTGGGGAAACTCCTTCCTGTGAGGGAAGTGTGCTATGCACAGGCTTTTAGCAACATCATCGGCCTCCTCACACAGATGCCAGTAACAACACATCCCTAGCCCAGTTTGGACATCCGAAAATGTCTCCAGGCATGCCAAATGCCTTCTGGGGGCCTAACGACCTCTGCTTGAGAACCACTGGGATAGAATTTACAGACACATTGCAAACTCTAGGTGCACAGAGACTATGATCTTCTATGTAGTATTACTAACGTAGGGTCTAGCACAGTAAGTTTCTGCTATACTGTTTATGCTGGGACACAGAGAGTTTTCTATAATACACACTACATAAGTATACAGTTATCTGTTTCCTATTGAAAACACTGACATCAGACAGGAAAGAAAAAAAAACATATAATCTCATTTTCATCTTTCTACTTTCTTACGTGAGAAAAACCTACAATTTAGAAAGACCCAAAGACATCACTGCAAGTGTCCCTCCTTCTGAATTCGAAGTCTCTCCTTCTCCACTTGCAAGCGTTCCTTTTCTATCTGCAGCTTCTCGGACTCAAACTTCAGGAACTGCAGCCTATCCTTCTCCAGCTGCAAGCGTTCCCGCTCGAGCTTCAGCTTCTCTGCTTCTACGTCTTGAGGCTGAAGTATGGACTTTTCCCCTTGGCCCAGTTCGTTTTCCAAAGATGGTTTCTCTGAACTGACGATCTGGAGCCGCAGCTTCTCTCTCTCAATCTGCAGGCGCTCCTTCTCCAGCTGCAGGCGCTCGTGCTCCATGTCTAAATGCCGCAGCCTCTCTTTCTCGACCTGCAGCCGTTCCTTTTCCACCTGCAGTCTTTCAGCCTCGATATCCAGTCGTCGCTTTTCCAACTCTAGTTTCTGCTTCTCTATGCTGACGAGCAGATGGGGTTCATCGTAGGCAGGCCTCGAAGGTGTCGAGTTGAGGGTGAAGAACTCGTCAATGTGGGGGAAATCAGGAAGTTCATTTTCCCTCCGGGGCTCTGGGATGACAGAAGATAACATTTCTTCTTCTTCCTCAATTTCAAACTAAGAGAAAAAGAGTAAGGCTATGTTAGGTATTGACTTGTACTTGGTGGTTGTCAATCTAGCCAACTTTTTAAAAGGTTTTCTGCCTTGTTTGAGCACACAAAACCACCTGATTTTGAAAACATTCATTTTTCTGATATCACTCCTCCATAAAATCAAGGTCATTATTTTTTTTTAGATGAGGAGAAAAGAATGAACGACACAAAGAGAAATCAAAAGGAATGACTTTTGTATGTAAGCAAGTCTAAAAATCTGGCAGTTTCACCATTCCTGGATTAGAAATGGCCCCGGGAGAGCTGAAGCAGATAACAGAGGATTTGCAGGCTAATACTCACTTCGGGACTCTGGGGATCTCTCTCTTCTTCCTCTACTTTTACCTCGGTTAAGGATCCACCGGCATCCCTGAAATCTGCCACATTCTGCCAGTCAAAATTCGCATCATTTCGAAACGCGATCTTTTCATCAATGTCCTCCGTGAGAGAGTCATCCAGATCGGAGGAGGGCAGGGGAAACCCTGACCCCACGAGCTTCATGTTCGCCTTCATCCTCTTCCTCTTCATCAGCGCTCGCCAGTCCAGGTACCTTCTTTTCACCTCCGTCCCTGTCCTCTGCTCTCCCTCTCCTACCGCGTTCACGCACTGGGCGATCTCCTCCCAAGCCATCCGCTTCATCACGTTAATCGTTGTGTTGAGCTGCTTAGAAAAGATGACTTCTTTCCTTTTGGTAATTTCTTTTAAAAGCGTCTGAGTTTCTTGAACACTAAAATTGCTTTTCCTTTTTCGTTTCAACTGCTTCATTTTTTAAAACTTCAGAGTACTCTTACAACAAGAGTGGGTACGAAAACAATCTGAAGAATGCCACACCACACGAAAACCAGTGACGGACAGTCCCTGCTTGGCACTTGATCCAAATCACTGATTTTTTTTTTTTTTTCGTTTATATAGCGGCAGAGGCAGGATGGATAATTCCTAATAGGAGGAAAAATAAACTACATCAGCCTGTAACTTTTGTAACATGCCTCCAACCTAATAAACTACATAATTTTGAGAAGAAACATAAAGCCTTCTAAAAAGGGCTTAAAATTGTCTCTTTCTGACAGCAACAAAGTCCAAGATGCCATCTTTCTCTCACCTCACTGCTCCAATGATTCTTACTCAATTGTCAGTAATACATTTTTTTTAAAAGATGCATTTATTTATTTGAAAAAGTTAGCAGGAGAGAGAGCGAGAGTCCTTTCATTGACCTGTTTACTTCCCAGACGCCCCCAATGGCCAGGGTTGGGCAAGCTGAAGCTAGAAGCTTTTGTCAGGTTTCCCATATGGGTAGCAGGGGCCCAAGCGTGTGGACAATCTTGTGCCGCATTACCAGGCCACAAGCCAGGGAGCTGGATTGGAAGTGGGAGAGTTGGGTCACAAACTGGTACCTATAAAGGATGTTGTGTAACAGGAGGCAGCTTGACTTGTTAGGCCACAACATCACCCCCCAACCAGTAATTCGCTTTTGATCCACTCCCATTTCTCCAGTGAAGGGGCTTCGGGAAGTTTATGAAAAATGCTTGTTATACTACGAGGCTGCTTCTCTCTGAAGCACCCCATTGCCTATCAGCCTAAATTATTTTCAGTGTGAAAAATATTCCTCTGGCAATCCACAATACAAGTAGTTGGGGGGTCTTCAACAATTCCATAAAAAATGTTCATTCTGAATAAACCATGAGTGGGTTTCACACTCTTTTTGGCACTAAACTAAGCTTATCTTTTAATTCATTTTTTTCATGAATTCTTTGAAGTACCCTTGTAGTATCTTCTACCGAAACAGGAAAATGAAATTAAGAAAGCTGAGTTTAACTAAAAATGCAGTTTTTCTATTATTGTTTGAGCTTTCTTTCTTTTGTACTTGAAAGTGGATGCAGGATTGACATGATAGCCTTATGGCTAAATTCTTGCCTTGTATGTGCCAGGACCCCATATGGGTGCTGGTTTGTGTTCTGGCTGCTCCACTCCCAATCCAGCTCCCTGCTTGTGGCCCGGAAAGCCAGCAGAAGATAGCCCAAAGCCTTGGGACCCTGTGCCCGCACGGGAGAACCATGGCTCCTAGCTTCGGGTCGGCTTAGTTCCTGCCACTGTGACCACTTGGGGAGTGAACGAAATAGTGGATGGAAAATCTTTCTTTCTGTCTCCTTCCTTCTGTAAATCTGACTTTCCAATAAAAATAAATAAATCTTTAAGAGAAAAAAAGTCAATGCAAAATAAGTGGAAAAAGATTTTTTTGGCCTGTACATCTAAAATATCCAAAATTCTGCCCAACTTACTTTTTGTTTCTAATCACTCAGGTGAAATAGCCAGCTATCATTTGCTGGTGGGATGGAGGTCAGATAACTAAAGTTCAAAACTGCGAAAATAAAATTCTAAAGTCACTGTCAATTTCATACAAAGAATATAGTACGGAAATACAAAAAACACAAGCATACTATTTCAAAACTTCTCAAGAAATGTTTAATGAGTAAATTGAAAACTATTAAGTTGCAAATGTGCAATTAACATCTGATACTGTCTTGGATATAGATCAGCCTTATTAGTCAAATATGAGCCTTTCAGGATTGCAACATATTCCAAAGCATTTATAAATTAAAATATCCTTAAGAGAGGCAGAATCTGGAATTACAATGCCTGTGTTAGGAGTGTGGCTTTGACACTTGCTCATCATGTGGCCTTAGTTGCTTAACCTCCCTATTTGTAATTTCTTTTGTAAAATGATGATAATATTCCTTCATGGAGATACCAGGTTTGAAGGATTAGTTAAATGCAGAAAATACTACCTACCATATACTAAGCACTGTTAAGTGTTTGCTACTAAGGTATCAAAGGAAAAAATCTTCAAGGAATTTTAACAAAAGGAAAAAGAAGCAAAATATTACATTACTGTTGGAACCTACTTGTGAAGGCTAACAAAAATGAATTATATACATCTCTTCCAAACTCCGAATTCAAAGATGTTATGTTACAGAAGCTAAAAGCTGGCTAAAATGGCAAATTCACAGCATAGAATTTGAATGTCACATAGTAGGACTATTCTCAAAGCAATATTTATTTACTGGAACACTGAAGCTACATTATTTTTGCATATAAAAAATAATACCTAATCAAAATTTAAAGAAAGAAACTTAAATTTGTTTTATTTATTTGACAGGTAGCAAGAGGGAGTGGTCTGTCTTCCGAGTGACTCAGCTGAAGGCCTCAACAGCCAGGGCTGGGTGGAGACTGAAGGTGGGAGCCAGGGTCCCAATCCGGGTCTTTCAGCTGGGTAGCAGAAGTCCAGCTACGTGAGCCACCACTGCATCTCCCAGAGTCTGTATCAGCAGGAAATTTAGGTGGGATACAGGTGTCTTAACATGTTTAACATCTGGTCAGAAGTCAGTTTCCCAAACATTCTAGAACACCAAACACTTTAAAGGATCACATTAATTAGCACTCCAGCCTAAATTGGATAACATGCCAGTTATCCAATAGGATGGGGAGGTATTAAGCTTTCTTCTAGTGTTGACTCAAAATATTCTTGAGGTACCATGCTTGAAGTCACAATGAAAAGAACAGAAGCAAACTGACTTATAGATCATGAAACCCACCCCAACAGGCCTCTTCTTCACATCCTATGTTGCAGGGCACTTGAAGAAACTACGGAAGACTTAGCTTTTTCTTCTTCTTCTAACATTTGTCCCACCACCAAAGAACCTGGAGATGGTAACTCACCTGCTCCAACGGCGCTATCCACGTCCAATACACGGTACTGTGCCTAACAGACAGAAGATAACAATATTAACTAGATTAACACAGTGATTCAGGATTGAGAACGCAGATAGAAAGAGAAACGGAAAATAATTCAAATCTCAGCAACACGGAAGTTCCTTGAACACACACAAAGCACATGCTTCAGTCAATTTCTGTGAGCACATACGGTATAGCCCAAGTCAACACAGGCAGGAAAGCAGTTCACATCACACTATTCACCCCCTGCCTACACCAGAGAACACAGCAGTAAGTTTACATTTTTTCCATAAGATATACTGCTTTTTAGGCAGAAGTTACTGATGAAAGGATATAAGTGGATTATGAAACAATTTTTTTTAAAAGATGGAGAAAACAGGTTAGATATCCTTGAAAACAGAACACAGAACTAAAGTGACACCAAATTTCATATCAAATTAAGTATCTACAATGTGATAAGCATCTTTTTGAAGCACTTAAAATGATTATCACGTTTTTAACATCAAAGTGTGGTAAAAATATGAATATTCACTACTAAGAGACTGGATGAATAAACATAAGCTACACAATGACAAACATGCAATAACCATGTTTTAGCGTCTGGCTATGTTGCAGCACAGCATCACTCCTGAATGAAGGCTAAACTAAGGCAGCCAACAGAAGTGAGAAGCTCAATGCGCATGTCTGTGTGTTGGTGTGGAAGCATACATTCGAGTCGGGAATCTTCCCGGACCCGAGACACGAGGTGCCCTACAAGCTTATCACTGCCCACCACCAATCACGAGCCAAGAGGAACATGGACACAAGTCTTCATACTTCAGCCATGGGGCTACGATAGTTCATAGCACATTTGCTTCATTTCACTCTGAGGTGATTAACACGTTAGAACATCTATTCATGAGGGATTTCTATTACAAGAAATCATTTTTAAATCCACAACCTACCGCTGTTGATTAAAAATAAAAAGCCAAATACATACACACATGTAACCTAAATGAAGGCACAAATTACAGTAAAATCCTGTTATGAATGTAGTTAATAACGAATCAGCGGCAATATACATTGCATGTGCTACTAAATACTTACTAATACCATCCACATATATTAAAAGGAAAAAACAGGTGCCTAACTTAATTCTAAAGGACAAATGAGCAGGAAATAATGAACATAAAAACATACCAGCTTCTATAATGAAACATAAGAGATGACTAGAAATTATGAAGTTGAAAGGATTTATAGAGTCTCTCAAACTGTAGTGTAGAGATGAGTTACCCTAAGGATCCTGTTACATGCGAATTCTGATTCAAGAGATCTGTGGTGAGGTCAGATCCCACAGTTCTGATGAGCTTCCAAATGATACTGACACTGCTGGTCTTGGTACCACACCCTGAATAGCTACAAGCTAGAGTAGTTGTTCAATAAAAATATAACGTGATCCATATATTAAATCTCCTAGCAGACACATTAAAAGCAAAAGAGATGGAGTTTCCACAACTATTATTTTACCCCATATATATAATGTTGTTATTATTGTCATATTCATAAATTCATAGAAAGTTAAGATTAAAAGAAATTTATCGGGGCCCGGCACAGTGGCGCAGTGGTTAAGGTCCTCGCCTTGCACGCCCGAGATCCCATATGGGCGCCGGTTCTATCCCAGCAGCCCCGCTTCCCTTCCAGCTCCCTGCCTGTGGCCCAGGAAAGCAGTCGAGGATGGCCCAAAGCTTTGGGACCCTGCACCCGCGTGGGAGACCCGGAAGAGGCTCCTGGCTTCGGATCGGCATAGCATGGGCCGTTGTGCTCACTTAGGGAGTGAATCATCGGACGGAAGATCTTCCTCTCTGTCTCTGTCTCTCCTCTCTGTATATGTGCCTTTCCAATAAAAAAGTAATAAAAATAAATCTTTAAAAAAAAAAGAAATTTATTTTGGTATAAAAAATTTGAAATACATGTATTATGATGAGTAAGGGAAGAAAAAAAGGCAATGAGAGAAACAGAAAGCGAGCTACTGTCTACCGGCTTACTCTCCAAATGCCTGCAAAACTGGTGTTAAGCTGGTCCAAAATCAGCCAATCAAACCAGATCTCCCCCAGAGGAGTTAGGGACCTCCCTACCTGGGCCATCGCTTGCTCTCTCCTACAAAGTGCATTCAAAAGAAACTGCAACCAGAACAAAGCCAGGAACCAAACTGAGGAATTCT